AGGCAGATTTGTTTAACACCTTATGGTAGCTCGAGCTCTAGAAGACCATTCCCTTTGATTATGGTTGTCTCTGTATTTTTCAACCTCCTTAAATGTTGAGAGTTAAGCCCTATTTATATTACTTTCATTTACGTAAGGACCCTTGGTCATGAGAGCTAACTCCCTCTTTATCCAATGGTCATTTTGTGAGATATATATTTAATGTATTATGTGGTCTCTATTACTCGAGCTCAGTTATTGGGTATTAAACATTCTCCCCCCCCCCTTGTGTAGACCTCGAAGTGAGGCGATTCCTTGGAACTCAGCCACCTAACCATTGATGCTCAGATTCCCACAACTGAAGATAGGGAAAGAGCCTTCCTCGGGGTTCCGCCTTCTCGGCCCCGCGGGCTCTATCCTGGATCTGCGCCTCGATGTCCCTACAGTTAAAAGGGAGCTCGAGAAGAGAAAGATGCCAGAGGTTACGCCTGCAGGAAGCGACCTCGGAAAAGAAGGGGGAGGGGCCCATCCGACTAGAGCATGGCGCGTCCACAGGAGAGGAAGGGTAGCGACCCCTTCCTCGGCCAGTGAGTTTAGTTATAGGACAAGTAGCTGGAGAATACTTGGTCCTTGCAGGAGCACACCAGATAAGTACCGGCCAGGTGTGCTTATTTTCAAAGCTGGTGCCACTCAAGCAGACGTCGTGGCACATATGTCAACATTTTGCCCCCCTGCTCAAGGTAGCGAGGAGAGAGCTCAAGGTTGCAAGGAGGGAGCTCGAGCAAAAGACCGAGGCAGAGAAGGGAATTCTTTAAAGATATAAGTGAGCTAACTGAGTTTCCTACAAGAGTATGAGAATGAACTCATTGAGGAAAACATATAAAATAGATGAGTTTACAAAGGTAAGCTAAATGAACTCTTTAAAGAAGTATGGAAATAAACTTATCGAGGAGAGCTCATTAGAGGGACAAGTTTTTTCGAACAGAAATGAATTTGTCGAGGAAACCAAATTTGAGGAGATGAGCTTTCTCGAGGAGAGCTCATCAGAGATAAACGTTTTACAAAAGCGAGTCATATAAAAGTGAGGAGACTTACACAAAGGGCGAGCTGATCAAAAGAAATGCTCTAAATTAACTTTATGAAAATGAGCTCATAGAGGGAAGCTCTTTAGAGAAATGAGTCTTGTAGAGGGCGAGACGACTAAGAGGAATAATCTTAAAAAATTATCCTTATGAAGATGACCTTGCTAGGGAACTCAACTTTGTGAAGAAATGAACTTACTGAAAGGAGTTCGTAAAGAAGTCAATTTTTGTAAATGAGGTAAAACGAATGGAACTCGATAGAGTGGTCAACTTTATTAAGAATGGGTTAATCGAAGGGAGTTCCCCAAAGAGCTAGTTTTGTAAATGTGAGTTAACCGAGGGGAACTCAGTAAAAAGATTAGTTTCATAAATGTGAGCTAAACGAGGGGAGCTCAATAGAAAAGTCAGTTTCATAAATGTGAGCTAGCCGAGGGGAGCTCAATAGAAAAGTCAGTTTGATAAATGTGAGCTAACCGAGCTCTGCGTCTCGAGGTCCTTATAGTTAAAGGGAGCTTGAGAGAAAAATGCCCGAGGTTACGTCTACAGGAAGCAACCTCGGAAAAGAAGGGAGGAAGGGCCCATCAGACTGGAGCGGGGTGCGTCCACAGGAGAGGAAGGGTAGCGACCCCTTCCTCGGCCAGTGGGTTCAGTTATAGGACGAGTAGCTCGAAGATGCTTTATCCTTTCAGGAGCACGCCAGATAAGTACTGGCAATGTGTGCTTATTTTCAGAGATGGTGCCACTTGAGCAGACATCGTGGCATATATATCAACATTTTGCCCCCTACTCAAGGCCGCGAGGAGGGAGCTCGAGCAAAAGACTGCATGTAAAAGGAAAATATTTGTAGAGAGGATCTCAATCAACTTATTGAGGTTTATCCGTAGAGAGGAACTCCTCATTTCTTTTAGCCAGAACCTAGACTTATCAGTGCTCAGTTGTCAATTATTATTTATATACATAAATAGGTGCACCCCATGGAGACTTATGTGTGTTTAAAGTTCCCTCTGGATAGCGTGGGGATCCCATGGAGCTTCGGTCTTCGCTATATATAGGTGCACGCCGAGTCAATGTACCATGTACATTTTGTCCAAGTTGGGATGTTCCTCGCACAATAAAATCATATTGTTAGAAAATAGGTTAGAATACAGGTTATAATGGAATGTAATAATTAATAAAATAATTCCGTCTTGATTCCAAGGTTATGTGGTGCAATTTGCATCACCTAGTAAAGTCATGAAATAGTGCGAGATGTGGTTTTTTATTTATTTATTTATTTTTTTAATTTTTTATAACAGTAATGGTAATGAGAACGAATTTTTTTAAAAAACAACATGAATTGATAATTGTACCTCTTAATTTCAACTCAACAGTGAAGAGATCGAGTTATCAAGGACTAAAGCATCATGATGTAATAATAGAAATATGACATAATGGACAACAACAACACAAGTAATAATAATAATAATAATAATAATAGAAGAAAAACGTAACTATCAGTTAGTCGAAATAAATAAAATGAAAGGAACTGAGCATGGAGCATAGATATATTGGGGCGCATCAGATGTGCCACAAGGAAGCATTGGTGAGCAGTTCAAGAAATGAGAGGTGTTGTCCTGAACCGCAGAGGCACTAGGCGAGGAGGTGTCAATCTAAAGTTGTACTCGAGTTGCAAGGGGTGCTCGAGGAAGAGTTTTATTTTACAAGGTGGATACTAGTTTTGAGCAAAATGGTGAAGAGCGCGAAAATGGAAAACAAGGGTAATCAAACAAGAGTAGTAGTATATTCTCTTTCTCATTTTTTTAAAAAACAAGGCCATAGAAGAGATACTTGAGAGAAAAGAAAAAATAATCTTAGGACGATTGACGATAAGTCTTAGCCTTCTGCCCCCCTGGCTGGTAGAAGCGTTGAGGCAACGGCTTCTAGCAAACAAAAGATAATATTTGTCTCTTAAAAGTAGAAAAAAAAGAGACTACACAGAAAAAAAAAAAAAAATAATAATAATAATAATAATAATAACTAAATAAATAAATTTTGTAAGCTAGCATGACGAGGGCTATGTTTGAGGGGGAATTTGAATACGAGGAAAAAACCCGGCCTCGCAAGAAGATCTGGTGAAACAGGAGGCTCTGAGCCCTTTAGTACGTGGATTATATAAGCATGGGAAAATGAACTAAGCACAGAAAAATCCCAAGTATGAAGGAGGTCGAGGGACATACCAAGTGCAAGTAGAGAACCATAAAATAAAGGATGGGGGATATTTTCAAGAGGATCCAAAGCTTAAAGTGACCCATGAACAATAGGTTTACGGTGAGATCGTACCGAAAGAAACTTTAGCAAGTCTAATGACGATGAGTGGACCATCATCCAAAGGAGTAAAGACTTCGCGCTACTGGAATATTCAGTTTTGAAAAGAGGTTGATAACGTCAAGCTCATGTTGTATGTGCAAAATGTAAGAAGCAGCTCGAGCTGACCTAAAGCAAAGCTCGAGCTACGGCGGAACGCTAATCTGAAGCATTGCTAGAGCAAGCGGTCGCTGATGCACGTCGTTGGATCAGATCAGGAGGATGTCGATGTCGACATCAAGGTTGCAGTCGGCAAAGACTTAATTTGTCCTTGATGTGGGTGGTGGAGGTGGAGGTTTTGTTGCTAGGGACACTTGAAAAGGGACGAAGGGGAAGGTCTCGGCGGGGTGTGTAATGATAGCATCCAACATTTTGCTGAATGATTATGTTCTTCTTTTCTCTATTGATCTCATGCATGCTGTTTAGAGATGGTGTTGGGTTGTTCGGATTCGGCCATTGTTGAAGGCCTTGGATTTTGTTATTATAGAGCTTTGTTTGTGTGAAAGATAAGTTTGCATTTTTCAACTCGAGCTAGCGAGCAATGGCTTAAAACGGAACTCGAGTAGCAGGGTGAGAGGCCCGAAACAGCGCTCGAACTAGTCTAACTCGACGCACTCACTTTGGGATGATTGACATGGACTGAAATCCCGAGCTCGGATAAGAATTCTGCTGTCATTGTTTCAGGGGCACCTCTGATCAGCCATTTAATTGTTACGAGCTGACCATCTTGTAAATGTCCTTTGTAAACTTCAGAATAAACTCCCTCTCCAATCATATTTTCTTCATCACAAAAAGGAAGTATGAGAACGAGAACGGAGAGAAGCAGAAAATTTGCGTATCAGCCAACAAGGACATGCATGGCACTTTGGTCGCAATAAGCAAGTGTATTTGTTTTCAATTGGCTACAAAAGTTGCGAATGTATAAATGGAGCAGGAAATTTTCAATCTGCAAATTCAAGTTCTTGTACAAGGAAATTGTTGGAGTACCGCGGCTGAAATTGTTGGAGCCAGTCCTCGAATTAATGACCAGGTTATTTTTGTGTGTAAAACATCATTACTATTATATTTTTATTCAAACTGTTGGCATTGTCCTCAATCTGCCGGGCGAGCGTTGGCTAAAAAGGGAACTCGAGTAGTAAGAGAAGCAAGGTCGAAATAGTGCTCGAACCACAGAGGAATGCTAAACCCAAAGCATTTTTAGCATTCAAGGATTTTTTTTTATGAACACTCTTAGTCCTTTGCCCCCCGTATGGTAGGAGTGGTACTTAAGAGTGAGAAACAGGTTTGAGACTCCATATCATGAAAGTTGCTCGAGGTCAGATTTTGAGGTTCGAACTCAAAATCCATAGCTCATGCCGAGGTGACAAAATGATAAATGAAGGAAAATGATAAATGATACTTAATTAGTTTTCTTAATTTTATTTATTTTATATTTTGTATCTCATACTTAATTAGTTCAATTACTGGGAGTTGACATATTGAATTTAAAATGGAGTTGGACCACACTAGCATGCTTATATATAGATGATTGCACACTTATAACATCTCTTGAAAAGTTCAACATCTTCTTCTCCGCACCAAATAGAATTCACAGAGATGAGTTGTTTCAGCAAATGTGCATTGTTGCTGATTGCAATATTGTCAATTGTTCTGTGTAATGTGGTGGTCGTCTTCTCGGCAGCACAAGGACCCATGACTACTGTTCGCGTTTTCAACCTCCTAGCAGACGACAACAAAGGACAAAAGATAAATCTCACCCTCCATTGTAAATCGAAGAACAATGATCTGGGTAGTAAGTTGTTGCCAGAGGGAAGCTCCTTTGAATGGAGTTTCGCAAACAACGTTAACAAACCCGCGCTTTACTCCTGCGCTATATCTTGGCAAAATGTCAGTGGGACTTTTGTCATCTACGATCAGCACAGAGACTGGGGACGATGCCAAGAGTGTGTTTGGAGAGCCGAACAAGATGGATTGTATCAATATAATGGTCAACAGGGACCATTGATACTTCAGTTACATTGGCCATAGTGAACATGTATTGCTATTACTCCAATCTCAAGTCCCTAACTATTTGTTGTAATAATTGGAGTTTTTCTCAATTTTGATGGCCCCTGCTTAATAAAAATGCTCGGATTGCCTTGCTAAAATCCTGTTGTTTTAGTTCTAGTTTCATTTTAGAAATCTCTGGCACATTTTTTACCCATACCTCGGCTCGAAACCCTCTCATTTTTGTAAGGATGGGAGGTTATTTGGTTGGGTTATCAACGTTCATAAAAGTTACAACTCGTGTACTCAAATTAAATAGTTTCAAATCACTTTTTCAAATATCATTTTCTCACTCTTACTTATTTTTGGTAGTGTGTATCTTGTAGGCCTTAACTAAGTATTTAATATAACTTTAAATTTAATTCATAAATAACATATTAATAGACTTAGATTAATTGCATTTGGTGCAGACCTTTATTCATTCATTAGTTTGGCCTATTTGTCAAAGGCCTTAATGAAACCGCTTATAAATCAATTTCCTATATAAATTTGGAGTTTAACTTTATTAATAAATTAAAACATTAATCTAACAGGTACTACTGGTGGCAATTAAGTAGCCTAAATCAACTTGTCATATGTAGTCATATATAATTATTCTTAGACAATTAAGGAAAGATTATTAGCCGTAACAACATTAAATAAAGATGATCTTATGACATGTGATTTGAACAAAATTAATTTGAAGAAAAATACTTAATACTCCGTCATGTGAGTTGGCCAATTGAAGTTAAATAGGAATTAGACCGCATGCTTACATGTCATGAAAAGTTCAAAATCACTCTTTTCATCACCAGATATAATTCCCAGAAATAAGTTTTTTCAACAAATGTGCGATGTTGCTAATTGCACTGTCAATTATTCTGTCTAATGTCGTCTTCTAGGCAACCCAAGGACCCATGACAACGGTCCGCATTTTCAACCTCCGAGTGACAACAACAAAGGAGAAAAAATACATCTCAATCTTCATTGTAAATCGAAGGACAAGGATTTGGCTAATAAGTTCCGAGTTTGGATAACTAAACAAAATGAAAGAAAAAAAATCAATGCGCCATTAGTTCAATGATATAACTTTTCTCCCTTTAAAGGAGAGGCTAATGTATCTTGTGGTGTGAAATATTTAGTTCAAATCTCGCCAAACCATTTAGATGACATTGACACTCCAATTACTTGATGTAAAATCAGTAGCATCAATGATCAAAAGGTTGAGCTGCATTGAATCACATTATGAAATGTCAACATCATCATCAGAAGTATTAGACTAAGACCGATTCTCAGCTTTAGTTTTCTTTTTATCTTTTGAACTCTCCTTAATACTATAGCCATTCTTATTTTTATTTATTTATTGGCATACTCGATCTTTACTGCCACTTTTTCAACAAATATTGTTGTTTTCCTAGAGTTTTAACCTATTTTCATTTATCCTTCCAATCCTTGCCTCACACTACCCTACCTTGGCCACACCTAGTATGGAGTACTAAACCCTCTATCCCAAAACAATCCTTCACACTATGGATGGCAATCCAACAAAAACTTCCTACATTGAACAGAAGATATACAGCTCACATCAATTTCACATTGTGTACCCTTTGAAACACAGAATTGGAGTCCCACGACCACCTATTCTTTCAGTATTCCTTTGTCAAACCTTTTTGGGTATTTCTTCAAACACGTGGTTTCACATTCAACCATCATCATGGTCTGAGCTTATTAGTTGAGCAGCTCACCATTGGAAGGGTAATTTAGTTTTCCAGAGTCACACATTATCCAAAATGAGCTTGTCAGCCCTTGTATACCACACTTGGAATGAAAGAAACAGAAGAATCTTCCAAAAGAAGTCCATTACAGCAAACTCACTTCTTCACCAAACTTTGGAATCAATCAGATCAAAGATCCTGCCTTCATCCATTTGTCACACCTTCAATGCTTCACGAATTGTAGCAGAGTTGGATATCCCTGAATCTATAATTCGTCCTCCAAGGAAGCCGGCCACCTGATCAAGGTGATTGAAGTGCTAATTCGTCGGAGCCCTCCTCCTGTCACCGGAATTTGTAATGTTGAGCTCATCAATTGGGCTATTTCTGAGGCCTGTACCTTGGGCTGTTGTAAGCTGTTTTACTAAGGGTTGTATTTTGTGTTCTGGGGCACTTTAGGCACATTGGTTAGCTATTGCTAGTCTTGTATTTTCTCCTTAATTAATCAATTTTAACTTTCAAAAAAAAGAAAAAAAAGAAAAAGATGATGAACCTTTATAATCAATCTTTGAGCTTGGAAGAATTTCTCTATTCTAAAATTTTCACTCTTAAAAAGAAAGAAACCTTCTAAATTTCTTAACCAGGAGAGCAATTTCCTCATAGTTCACTGAACTGATTTATTGGAAATTTCATACTGGATTATTGAAACAAAAAGTTTTTAGTTTTTAAAAATAAAAAAGGTACTTTCATAAAGATCAACTCACTACTTTTGAGAAGTCCGATTCCAAGTGTGAGTTGCATTGTGGGAAAGTAGTGTGCAAGACTCAGAAGAGGTAAATATAGGTCTGGTCAGGGCCGGCCTTGAGATTGAAAAAATCTCGATAGGCCCGAGGCGAACTTTAAATGTGAGGCCCTCTCTATACATAAGTGATATGTTTGCCCTAATTTTTTTTTAGGCCCCTTTTTGCTGCATTTGGTTAAACTTTTTTTTTTGTTTTTGGTAGCCCATCATTCTTGAGGCCCTTCGCTGCGGTTATAAATTTTTTTTTTGGTAGCTCAGCATTCATGGGCCTATAAATTTTGATTTGCTGCATTTGGTTGTAAATTTTTTTTTTTTTTTTTTTTTTTTTCGTGGCCCATCACACATGGGCCTATAAATTTGGAGGCCCCTTATATTCTGAGGCCCTAGGCAACCGCCTTGGTCGCCTTGGGCCAGGGCCGGCCCTGGGTCTGGTTTGGTTGTTTGATTGACCTTTAGGTTAGGTACGATTTTAACCAATTAAAATCCAATAAATCAATCACATACCAGCAGTAGAAATAAATACAGAAAAGTAAAGAGATTAGAAAGTGTGACACCAGAAATTTTCACCATAATAACCCCGATGAAAAAGAACCTAGTAGATTTAGTCATTTGCAGTGAAACAAATCACTAGACCAAGAAAATGTACATGTACTTTTAGAATTGCTCTCCGCAAGTCGTCGCCTTTCAAAATTACATGTCATTGTTTTACCTCCGAAATGTAATGTCCTCTGATCCCAGTATTTTTTTTTAAAAAAATTACCAACAATGCAGACCCACCACGCCAATGCAATCACCTCATGATGATTCGATTTTTCTAGTGATCGAACTCGCCCTGTCTTCCACGAACCGTGCAAAGATGTGAATGAAATATGCTACTCCGAAGGAACTGGATATCTTTGTAGATAGCTCGATCTCGCAATATTGTTGTAGGTGTAAAATTTCTCTCAACCAATAATGATTGAGAAAAATAAAACAACTCACTTAAAAAACAATAAGAATAAATAAAAATAGTGTATAGAGAAGCGTAGAATTGCTTGATCTCTTTATTGGAGGTCTAAGCCTCTATTTATATACAAAAGATTGTAAAATTATAGTAGGACTCGCGTTGTTTGACCTTCAATTCTTTTTATATAAACATTCTTTACTAGTAGAGTTCTTTCCATTGTCTAATTTTCCATACATAGAACTTGCCTTGTACAGAACTTCCTATCTCAGAATTTTCCTTCTACGGTAAATCCTTCAACTGGTAGGACTTATGCATTCTTGAATAACTGGGCTGAACATACTAAGTATTCGGCCGGGCTTGAGTAACGGACCGGATGTTAAATATTAACAAGTTGGGCTGATGACCTCTTGATTCGGCCTTGATGGAGGTTGGAGGACAAATAACAATAGTATTGGGCTAAAAATACCCTCAATTTGGGCTTGAGCATGATGGGCCTTATATGTCATTGGAATGTAGATATGTGTAGTGATGACGTGTGCGCTTTTTATTGGAGGGAGTTTTTTCCCTCCACTCTTTGCCCCAAATTTCATTTTTAATTGAGTGACGACTCCCATTAAAGAGGGAATTGAAACCGGTTTTTTACTTTGCTTCAGAAACGGTTCGAGGTCTTTCATTATTACTCCGTCATACAAGATTCTGCAAGAGTTACATTCGCCCTTGCTGCACTCCTGCATTCTTCATTCCATCGCCTTGTTAGGTTAGTTTTTTTCGCATCTTTCTCTTCAATCTTTCATTATGAGTACTTCATTTACTCCCGAACGTATAGACATTGGGGATTCTGAATCCACACCTTCATTTTCCCCTGTTCGCATTAGGGCTCCCCCTCCTAGGTTTCTACAGATCGTCTTTCGTTGAATCAATTAGGTACTTCCCCCCTTCCAGCCGAGGCATCCACCTCAGGCTCTAATAATGTTCTTACTCATGAAGAGAGGAAAGCAATCATCTCTATTCGCCGCATCAAGTTCTCTATTGCTTCGGTAATGGAAGAATTTGATATTCCTGAGGGAGTAGAAATTGCAGAATATCCCGAGGGTGCCGATTTTACCTCTGGCGAGGGAATTGAAGAGAATGAATTGCTTCTTTCGGTAGGGCATCTTAACGCCCTCCGGTTCCCTCTTCATCCCTTCTATCATTTAGTTTTCAACAAGTTAGGTCTTGCCCCCCTTCAGGTAAATCCTAATTTATTCCGCATCCTTTCGGCACTGTTGGTGCACCGGAAATTAGAGGCTCTGGATTTGACCTTTGCCGACCTTCTGCTTACTTACAATATATCTAAGCATGGGACCGAGCCTGGTCGCTTCTTTTTTACCTCTCCCCTTCATCAGAGGATATGCATGAACCTTCCTTCATCCGAGAAGAAGTGGAAAGAAAGGATGGTTATAGTTAAAGGAAAATGGTTCGTGCCCCAATCAATTACGCTCCCCATCCCGCGCAAGTTCGGGAAATTAGGTATAGAATACTTAACCTCCCTTCATACTAAGTG